CCCCAAAACCCCAAAACCCCAAAACCCCATGGGAGGTTATGGGTATTGAAATGGGTGGTTTATAGGAATTTAACCCTACTTTGGGTTTAAATAGAGTAGATAAGTCAGGCTCATTGGGTTGTTCCCTTATTTGTTGAAGATGGGGTAGGATAGAAAGGTTTACTCATCTCAAAATTAATAAAATAGATATCATTACTTAAATAAAAGAATAAATCCTGCAAAATGTAAATTTTAGCAGTATTCTAAAAATATGTAGCAACTACTATATATTTTCTTGTATTAAAATCTGAAAAATTCTCATTTTACATCAGCTTTGCAAATGCTAAAATCTGTTGGAGTATGATCTCTATAAAAGTAATGCTATATTATTTAGCCATTTAAAGTTAAATTTAGGAACCCCAAAGTTCTCATTTTAAGTATGTTTCTTATATAGAAATTACCTGGGCAAATATTCAGAAGGATCTTTCTGCATGCTTCTGCCGATGGCTGAATCTTTGGCTAAAATTTCTCTTATTGGGAATTTAAAAGTTTTGCTATTTGGGATTCGCGATTCTAAAGAGTTTCCTAAAGTTCTTCTCGATTTCGATCGAGATCTTCTGGTCTTCAATGGTTGCAGTGCCATCTAGGTAAGACTGCTTCTTGGCTGCTTTGAAAGTTTCTAGGAGCTTGCTGACTTGCTTGGTGTACATATTATATCGCTTCTCTTTTTCTTTCTCAATTCGCTTTTTCTCCTTGAATTCCATTTCCTTATGGACTTTTCTAGCTGAATCTTCCTGGGATAGGATGTTGTGGAAGTACTTTCCCCATAGTAAGTCAAATTCCTGAGTGAATTCTTTTATGAAGACCTTACTGCTTGAGACCATCACATTTTCATGGTTCTGCTTGACCCCTTTGGCAGTCCAGTTGAGAGAGCCGTTAATTAGGATGAAATCATCCACGATAGCGAACTTGTGATGCATTTTAGCAGAGTTTGAGAGATTGTGATGGGTTCATTCAATACCTAATGCTCATAATTCATGGATATAGAGCGTGCTAAGAGACTCTTTATCCATAATGACCTGAACTCTGATACCTCTTTTCTTTGCTTCTATTAAGCAGTCCATGAGCTCTCTTTTAGTGAATGTGTACATTCACACTTTGATGCTTTCTTGTGCCATGCAGAGGTAATGGAGTAGCTCAGCTTCAGATTCTTTACTTGGAAATTTTAGGACCTTCTCAAAATTACTTGGCTGGTAGGGGGTACACTTTAGTCAAGCCATGGATAGGTCCAAGAAGTTCATTGCCTTGGTCAGATCCCAATTCTCTTTATTTACAAGGTTGGCTATTAACGAGGTTTTGATACTTTCCTTAGAAAGATGAGTGGATTTGATATCATCCTGCAAATTCTGGATGCCTTCCTTCCGAATGGTTTTAATATCCACCGTTCTGATGGTATTTAGAACGTGAGTCTTTTTCATTATTTAGTCAATGTTTAGAATCCATTGGAGGTGTTTAAATTGTTTTTAAATTTTGGAATCACCGCCCTCACTCATTATCCTGACAATAGGTTTAAATCTAAGCTCAGGATTATACGTGCAAAGGTTATGGGGTACGATTTTGGTAGATTTTGGGTAGACTAGTTGGTATTTTTGTATTTTGGGGCTCTGACCCTGATTTTGAGAAACAGGGAGTTTTTGGGATTATAGGGGTATTATGAAGCGAATTGACGGATTTCATTAAATCCAAAATTATTCTGCAATAATTAGACATAATAACCAAGGCAGAAGCATCAAAATTTCCTTGATTTCTTCAATATCTGCATATCCTACTGGGGTTTTGGGGTTTTGGGGTTTTGGGGTTTTGGGGTTTTGGGG